TCCGAGCTGGACCTGGGACTGCCCCCTGGAAGGGACTCTCAGTCGGGCCTGGGCCTTGGAGTGAATTCTCTGCTCACCCCCCTCTCTCCTCGCCAGCACTAACCTTCTCTTCCCAGGTGGTCTCCAGAGCGCCTCCCTTGGAGCCAGAACTTGTGGACACACACATACCCCTCCTTGTCTCTCTTCCCTCTGCGCAGCTCCCTCTCCCCAAATGTCCCGGGAGTCCTGTCGTTCTCCATGTCCCCACTCCACCCTTGTGCACCAGTGTCAGTGTGCTTCTGAGCCTGACCCCACCAGAGACCCTGCCGGCTGGGGCAGGACTGTCCCTCTCCCTAGCCTAACCTGGGAGCTGCTTCCTCCATCCTTTCCTCAGACAGCAGCAGGGACCTGAGGAGAGAATAGACAGCCCTAAGCCTCCCTGCCAGAGTAGGTGTGGAAACATCACTCTACCTTGCAGCTTTTGGAGGAAGAAAGTGAAGTGTTTTTTGTTTTGTTTTGTTTTGTTTTGTTTTTTAAAGTCCATCCCTGCATGGTTGGTGAAGGATGGGATCCCAGCCCCTAGTTCTTCCCAGAGACAGAGAAGAGAGGCCAGGGTGTTGATGCCTGAACCTTGAGGCTAGGTGCCACTGCAGCAGAGGTCCCCACCTCCCAGCCCCTCATGCCCACTCTGGGAGAGCTCTGGCCAAATCCTTTGTCCCCAGCCTGTGGGGTCTCTAGCAGCTGAGGAAGGGAAGAGGGCACCACCTCCCCACACTAACCCTGCTCTTGATGGTCTCCAGGGTTCGCAGCTCCAGGGAGAGGGGCCGATGGGCAGGGCGGGATTCCCCGCCCACAAACCCCCTTCCCATCACCAGCCCGACCAAGCAACCATGACTGCAGCAGCAGGAGGGGACAGCATGGTTTCCTCCCCCCCACCGTGTGACCAACTTGCCTCTCTCTCCCCTCTCTCCTTGCCTCTGCTCCTCCCCACCTCCTCCCTGCCTACCCACCCACCCGGTCCAGTCTTCGTGTGCCCAGGGACCCTGCAGAAGGTGCTGGAGCCCACCTCCACACACGAGTCAGAGCACCAGTCTGGTGCATGGTGCAAGGACCCGCTGCAGGCAGGTGACCGAATCTACGTCATGCCCTGGATCCCCTACCGCACAGACACACTGACTGAATATGCCTCATGGGAGGACTATGTGGCCGCACGCCACACCACCACATACCGACTGCCCAACCGTGTAGATGGCACCGGCTTTGTAGTCTACGACGGCGCGGTCTTTTACAACAAGGAGCGCACGCGCAACATCGTCAAGTACGACCTTCGGACCCGCATCAAGAGCGGCGAAACAGTCATCAACACAGCCAACTACCACGACACCTCGCCCTACCGCTGGGGAGGCAAGACCGACATTGACCTGGCGGTGGATGAGAATGGGCTGTGGGTCATCTATGCCACCGAGGGTAACAATGGGCGCCTGGTGGTGAGCCAGCTCAACCCCTACACACTGCGCTTCGAGGGCACGTGGGAAACCGGCTATGACAAGCGCTCGGCCTCCAACGCCTTCATGGTGTGTGGTGTGCTTTACGTGCTGCGCTCTGTATACGTGGATGACGACAGCGAGGCAGCCGGCAACCGCGTGGACTACGCCTTCAACACCAATGCAAACCGAGAGGAGCCAGTCAGCCTCGCTTTCCCCAACCCCTACCAGTTTGTATCCTCTGTTGACTACAATCCCAGGGACAACCAGCTGTACGTGTGGAACAACTATTTTGTGGTGCGCTACAGCCTGGAGTTTGGACCCCCAGATCCCAGTGCTGGTGAGGATGGGTTTTGAGGGATGTAGGGTTCTTTGCATCCTTCACTCCCTGGTACCAGAATGTAGGGCTCATTGTAAGCTCTTGAGGATTAGGAGGTAAAGAAAATCACAGCTTGTGGCAAACGCTGTCCACACTTACCACAGTTGCTACTTCAAATTATCTACTATCTTCGAGGCATGGGGTTCAGTGCACTGTTTTACAGATGAAATCCATGCACTGCGTGACCTAGGGATTATCTTTCTGGAGGATTGAACCCCAGGACTCTGGGCTCTACCCAGTGGTCTGTGCTGCCTGGGCACAGTAGTGTGGGGTTGATTAGGGATTGCAGAACCACATGCTCACTGTATTCTCATTTTTGTCTCCAGCTGGTGTTTCCATCATTAACCCAGAGCAGCCCCAGAGCTCTAAAGAGCCTTAGGCAACCTTTGTAGAAGGGGAGTTGGGTCCCCACCGAGGGAAGCTGTAACCAGGTTCCAGACCCCAGTTGGCTGTGTCACAGATGAGAGGTGATTACATCCAGCAGCTTTGACACACATCTCCAGTCCCAGCTCTGGGAGAGACACCACATTGTGCATAGTAGTGTATTTTTAACCTCTTCTGAGTATGTGGTCTCATGAATGTAGGGTACCTCTGAACACAGAAAGGCCAGGGGACCCAGGACACCTTTCCACCTCAATGGGTAAAGAAGATGTCAGAGTGCCAAGGGAAACCTGTGCTTGGGCACATTGGTGGGCCTTAGGCATGAGTGTAACCCTGTCCTAACCCTCTACCTTCCAGGCCCAGCCACTTCCCCACCTCTCAGCACCACCACCACAGCTCGGCCCACACCCCTCACCAGCACAGCCTCGCCTGCAGCCACCACTCCACTCCGTCGGGCACCTCTCACCACACATCCAGTGGGTGCCATTAACCAACTGGGACCTGACCTGCCTCCAGCCACAGCGCCAGCACCCAGCACCCGGCGGCCTCCAGCCCCCAATCTGCATGTGTCCCCTGAGCTCTTCTGTGAACCCCGAGAGGTCAGGCGGGTCCAGTGGCCAGCCACACAACAGGGTATGCTGGTGGAGAGGCCTTGCCCTAAGGGAACTCGAGGTGAGTGCCGGGGCCACAGGTGACCAGGAAGGGCTGGGAGACACAGCTTAGCTATATAGGCACCATCTGCAGCCTAGCACCTGAGGAGCTGCAGGTGGTCTGGCTACCTGTCTCAGACTAAAGTAGCAGAGCCAGTTTCAGGACAGATGTGGGACAGATAGGCAGCCCAGGTGCTCTGGGTGTTCCAGGGAAGGTTGGCTTAGTGGAGAAAACATTGCATAGTGAATCTTACCTAGGGGGTTCTGACTCTGGGAGGCAAGGGTGGGCTGCCTGCTTGGTGCCTTTTCCCAAGTGTCTGTCTCCTCCTTGTCCTCTGCTGTCTCCTTTCTCCTTCCTTGGCCCCTTGTCATCTTCTCTTTGGCTTTCTTGTCTATCTACAGGAATTGCCTCATTCCAGTGCCTCCCAGCTCTGGGTCTCTGGAACCCTCGGGGCCCTGACCTCAGCAACTGCACCTCCCCCTGGGTCAACCAAGTAGCCCAGAAGGTACCAGTAACAGCTGCCCCTTGCAGGCAGGCTAGCCAGTGCCCAGGGTCAGCAGGAGTGAAAATAGCTTGGGGACATAGAGGGCTATAACCAGGGCCAAGGGGTCTCCTTTTACCTAACCCTTGTGTGGGAAAGACCAACAGGAAGAAGAGGGCCTATGCAGGCAGGGCAGGCCAGTGCCCAACAGACCTGAGGTCTCTCCTCCCCGCCTCATGCAGATTAAGAGTGGAGAGAATGCAGCCAACATTGCTAGTGAGCTGGCCCGCCACACACGGGGCTCCATCTATGCTGGGGACGTGTCCTCCTCAGTAAAGCTGATGGAGCAACTGTTAGACATCCTGGATGCCCAGCTCCAGGCCCTCCGGCCCATTGAGCGCGAGTCAGCTGGCAAGAACTACAATAAGGTAGGCACCTACCTGCTGCCACCCCACATTGAACAGTAAGGGATGCAGTACCCCGGGGGCTGCTGGGCTTCACTGCTGCACTGCCTTGAGTAGTCCTCAGAGGTGGGGTTCCTGAAGGAGGTCTCTGGAAGAGTGATCTGTCAGAGCCCCAGAGTCTGAGTGCTGTGACTGGGAAAGCAGTGCCTGGGGTCCACCTGTCGCTACCTCTATCTCCTTCTCTAGATGCATAAGCGAGAGAGAACCTGCAAGGATTATATCAAGGTGAGCCCAGTGGAGGACAGTTTGTGGGAATGAGGGGCTTTGGGACTGGAAGGGAGAAGAGAGGACATTAAAACTGTCTCAAGAAACTAAAGAATGTGGGAGACTCATGGTATTGTCCCTGCTACACACAGGCTGTGGTGGAGACAGTGGACAACCTGCTCCGGCCAGAGGCACTTGAGTCCTGGAAAGACATGAATGCCACAGAACAGGTGCACACAGCCACCATGCTCTTAGATGTCCTGGAAGAGGGGGCCTTCCTGCTGGCTGACAATGTCAGGGAACCCGCTCGCTTCTTGGCTGCCAAGCAGAATGTGGGTGAGTACTGCAACCACCCCAGGGCCAATCCCCAACTCCTGTGGTTTCACTGCAGGTCTCATGGTATATCGTGAAACTTATCTGGGCACAGACACTGATGACATGTCCTTTCTGCCCCTGCCCTTACAGTCCTGGAGGTGACTGTCCTGAACACGGAGGGTCAAGTGCAGGAGTTGGTATTCCCCCAGGAATATCCCAGCGAGAATTCCATCCAGCTGTCTGCCAACACCATCAAGCAGAACAGCCGCAACGGTCAGTGTCCCGTGCAGTTTGTCTGAAAGCATGTGCACACTGCCCACCTGGCACCTTGATCTTGACTTATAGAACCCAACAGTCGTGTTTTAATCATGTTTTATCTGCTGCTAGTATGGACATCCCAGAGCCCTGCAAAGGCCTGGGTTTACAGAGCTGAGTCCTAGTTCCAGAAGGCATTGTGCTCTTTGAGGCTGAGGAAGTGGGTCAGAGAGCCAGCCTGTGTGTCCTGGCCACCGAGCTGTTATTTGACATCACCACTGCTGACCAGTGGACCTGTGAAGCTGGTTTCTGGGCTGCTGTTTTCACCTGGGCCACAGCACAGTTCCAGTGTATCTGAGAGCCATGGAGCCCAGACAGAAGAGTGTAGCCAAGGATGGCCACTGTATCTCCCTGTGCCTATCTTTCTCAGGTGTGGTCAAGGTCGTCTTCATCCTGTATAACAACTTGGGCCTATTCTTGTCCACGGAGAATGCTACAGTGAAGCTGGCCGGTGAATCGGGAACCAGCGGCTCCGGAGGTGCCTCGCTGGTGGTGAACTCACAGGTCATTGCAGCATCCATCAATAAGGAATCAAGCCGTGTCTTCCTCATGGACCCTGTCATCTTTACTGTGGCCCACTTGGAGGTGAGTTCAAGTGTACCTCTCCCTCCCTGGAGGTCCCAGCATCCTTTGTTCCTGGACTGCATGTTACATGTCCCCTACCATGTAGTCAGGGGGAAATTTCAGCTCCTCTGCTTCACCATGGACCATATGTCCCATGGAGCTGGTGGTCATCTTGGGCCCCAGGCACTTCTTCACTCTTGTTACTGTCCCTGTAGCTGGATTGAGGGCAGGAATGGGACTTGCAGTCTTGACACCCTGTCCACCACCATGTAACAGGCCAAGAACCACTTCAATGCAAACTGCTCCTTCTGGAACTACTCAGAGCGCTCCATGCTGGGCTACTGGTCAACCCAGGGCTGCCGCCTGGTGGAGTCCAATAAGACCCATACCACATGTGCCTGCAGCCACCTCACCAACTTCGCAGTGCTCATGGCTCACCGAGAGATCGTAAGCTGGCCAGCGCTCTGCTGTCCTGGGCAGGCCTGCTTGCTGCTGTCCTGGCTTTGCATGGCATCCTAGAGAGTACACAGCATGGACGATGCTTACAAGACCAGCTCATGGGCTTGGGGGGGCATCAGTCTTGCCTGGGGCATGAGGCCTTACATCTGGCCCTCTCTGGCCCTGAGTTACTCTGGAGAAGCAAGTTTGTGTCACGTTTGTCATCTCTCCACAAGCCTCCCAGAGCATGAGGAAGTGAGCCTGCACTGCCTGCACAGGGGTGGTGGCCAGCTTGGTGGCTGGGTGGGTAGCACTGGGTAGTTGTGGCCTACAGCCTTGCCTGGGTCCTTACCTGCAGCTGTCACCTGGCCAAGCCCTGAGTGCCCCCCTACTCCTGTCCCCTAGTACCAGGGCCGTATCAATGAGCTGCTGCTGTCGGTCATCACCTGGGTTGGCATTGTCATCTTCCTGGTCTGTCTGGCCATCTGTATCTCCACCTTCTGCTTCCTGCGTGGCCTGCAGACCGACCGTAACACCATCCACAAGAACCTGTGCATCAACCTCTTCCTCGCGGAGCTACTCTTCCTGGTTGGGATAGACAAGACTCAGTATGAGGTAAACCACTCTTAGGGCCAAGGCTGGGCAGTGGGAAGGGCCGTAGCTGGTGGAATAGCCTCTTACTGATCTGCCCTCCCAGGTCGCCTGCCCCATCTTTGCGGGCCTGCTGCACTACTTTTTCCTGGCCGCCTTCTCCTGGCTGTGCCTAGAAGGTGTGCACCTCTACCTGCTGCTGGTGGAGGTGTTTGAGAGCGAGTACTCACGCACCAAGTACTATTACCTGGGCGGCTACTGCTTCCCAGCCCTGGTGGTAGGCATCGCAGCCGCCGTTGACTACCGAAGCTACGGCACCGAGAAGGCGTGAGTGTCTCTGTTGTCTCCGTGGGCTTCATCTGGTTGGCTCTTGAGTGGCTGGCTTTCCTTGGGCCAGGGCTGGGGTGGCTGGCCTTTCAGGCGTCTCTCCACTCTGCTATGTTTCGTTTTAGCTGCTGGCTGAGGGTGGATAACTACTTCATCTGGAGCTTCATCGGACCCGTCTCCTTCGTTATTGTGGTAAGTGGCACTCCAAGTATGTGGGTTCCTTTTGTTCAGGTTGGTCTTGAGCCTAACCCTGGGCCCCTTGCCAGTTTCTCAAGACACTAATGTAAAAACTGTCAGCACCAAGCAGAGGGACCAGGGCACAGCTCAGTGGTGAACACTTGCCCACTATGCAAAAGGCCCTGGGTTCTATCCCTAAATCCACACACACGCACCTGAACAGTAACTAAAAAAGACCAGAGTGACTTAAGTCCATAGTCCCCAGCATGAAGCCAGTGCACCAGCAGCTGTGATCCAAGGCTGTTTTGGGCTAAGCCATGACCCTTGACCTCACAGCAGTGGTAGCAAATAATGGATGGAGGTAGTGGGCACTTTGGGCCCCTGTAGGCAGAGAAGGCCCTAAAGAAGGTGTTGGAGCAGAGACTGAGCCCCTTCCTGCACTGCTACCCAGGTGAACCTGGTGTTCCTCATGGTGACCCTGCACAAGATGATCCGAAGCTCATCAGTGCTCAAGCCTGACTCCAGCCGCCTTGACAACATCAAGTGAGACCCTCACCCTGGGGCGCTCCGGGTTTCTGGAACACTTTATCCACCACTGGTACCATGCATTGGGGTTTTCAGTTCTAGGGTATTTATGCATAGTATGGGCCCTACTTAACAAGGTCAGAAAGTGCAGCCGTCCCTCCAACCTGTGCTTTCAGGCCTGTCACTGCAGATTCCGTGCGAGTCTGTTTGAGGGCACCTTGAAAAATGGGCCACAAAGGGAGTTTGAGTGGACTGGGAATCTGATCAGAATGATGAAGTGGGCAGGGAACGACCTGTCACCTGGAGCCAACCCTCAGTGTCAAATAACAGGCCTTCCCAAGGCCACCTCAACCTTAGGCTAGGTCTTTTAGGTGGCACCGGAGGCCTTGGGGCTGGGCTATCTTCCCTGGTGAGCACCATGACTGCCTGTCCCCCTGGCCACCAGGTCCTGGGCGCTGGGCGCCATTGCGCTGCTCTTCCTGCTGGGCCTCACCTGGGCTTTTGGCCTCCTCTTCATCAATAAGGAGTCGGTAGTCATGGCCTATCTCTTCACCACCTTCAACGCCTTCCAGGGGGTCTTCATCTTTGTCTTTCACTGCGCCTTACAGAAAAAGGTGAGGGTCGCAGAGCTCACCTTGGGGACATTCTGGATCTATCAGGGGAGGGAGGCCAGGGTGAAGGGACTCAGGTGCCCCCTGGGAACCTCAGTGTGTCCCCTGGTCACCTGCCTTCTGTGGGATCATCTGAGTCTGATGGGAGCTAGGAGGATTCAGCCAGAGGTAAAAAAGATTCTAGAAGCCAGGTGTTGGTGGCGCACACTTTTAATCCCAGCACTCGGGAGGTGGAGGCAGGCAGATCTCTGTGAGTTCGAGATCAGCCTGGTCTACAGAGAGAGTGCCAGGATAGGCTCCAAAGCTACACAGAGTAACCCTGGCTCCAAAAAAAAAAAAAAAAAAAAAAAAAAGATTCTAGAAATAAAACAGGTTATAAGGGAGTGGCAGCACAGAGCTGATAGGACTATGGGTGCTCTTGTGGTCCTGTTGGACGTGAAACCCAGCCATGGGTGACAAACATCTGGGAGTCATAGTATTAAGATTCCTACCTTAACCTTTCTAGAAAGAACTGAATTTTGTAATGATCCAAGGAATGGTTCCAGGAGAACCCTTGCCTGGCTTTGAGGGCACTACACACACACATGGCACACACATGTATATGCAAGCAAAACATCTTAAAAACAACACGAGGGCTGAATTGGTAAAACGCTTGCCTAGCGTACATAAAGTCTGGGTTCCATCCCCAGTGTCATGAATTGGCCACAGTGGTGCATGCCTATGATTCTAGCACTGGGGAGGTGGCGGGGGGGGGGGGGGGCGGGGGGGGGGGGGACAGGAGGGTCAGGAGTTCTTTGTCATAATGTTCCCTGTGCCTAGCATATGGTACATGTTCCTTAAAGATGTGTTGAGTTGGAGAATGAAGGAATGAATAAGGAAGTTGGTGGTGGTGAGGAAAAGAGAATGAGCCAAAATAATAGCCTGAATGGTTGGCTATCAGGGACATAGATGACAGTGCAGTTTCTATGGCTTGCCCAGTGTGTGATGACTGATCAGAAAGACGTAGGTACCCACCACCAGCTGACCGCCCCCTGTCACAGGTGCACAAGGAGTACAGCAAGTGCCTGCGTCACTCCTACTGCTGCATCCGCTCCCCCCCTGGGGGTACTCACGGTTCCCTGAAGACCTCAGCCATGCGAAGTAACACCCGATACTACACAGGGACCCAGGTACCTGGGCAGGGAAGGCCTATCCAGCAGGGGCCAAGAGTCAGGAGTGCTCTGCCAGAGCCTCAGAAAGATCCTGGAGGGTGGGGTGACACTAGAGATCCCCTCATGTTTGGGCTGTGTCCCCAGAGCCGAATCCGGAGGATGTGGAATGACACCGTGAGGAAACAGACAGAGTCCTCCTTTATGGCGGGTGACATAAACAGCACCCCTACCCTGAACCGAGGTGAGGTGTCCCCTGGCCCTGGTGCCTCTCTCAGAACCTCCTTGGCCCAAGTCTGTGGCTTGCCTTGTAACCTTTGACCCTTCCTTTGGGCAGGTACCATGGGAAATCATCTACTGGCTAACCCTGTGCTGCAGCCCCGTGGGGGCACTAGCCCGTACAATACACTCATCGCAGAGTCTGTTGGCTTCAACCCTTCCTCGCCCCCAGTCTTCAACTCCCCAGGTGAGCACACTTGGGCTGACTGGATACCAGGGAAGAGCAGAGCCCCAGGTTGGGAGGCTCGGAGAGCAGGTTCTGAGGGCCTCTGCTTAGCTCACTCTTGTTTGTCTTCTCTTGCGGGCTGGCATCTACAGGAAGCTACAGGGAACCCAGTAAGTACCATTGTCTCTTGTAAGCATTTCCAAAGGGGGAGGGGAACAAAAGCAGACCCTTCTGTAAGCATCTCATAGGGACCAGAAATTTGGGGTGTCCCTACCTACAGGCTCTGGCACAGCAGCCAGGTGGGGACCTTCAGGTAGGGAATGAAAGTGAGGGGTTGGCCCAAGCCTAGGGGCTGTACCTGGCTACACGGGTCTCCACTTGCTGAGTTCTGAAACTTAAGAGGGGACCCTGGGTGAACTGGCCCGTACACACACCCTCATGAGCCTATTGCTAGTCGGCAGACCCCACAGCAGGTGAGATGGAGGAAAGTGACACCAGAGCTCTGGGACAGACCTCTCAGCGCCCTTTGTCTACCCACATGACCAGGCCCATCCTTACTGCCCCCTCTGCCCTGCAGAGCACCCCTTGGGAGGCCGGGAAGCCTGTGGCATGGATACCCTGCCCCTTAACGGCAACTTCAACAACAGCTACTCCTTGCGAAGTGGGGATTTCCCTCCAGGGGATGGGGGACCTGAGCCACCCAGAGGCCGGAACCTGGCCGATGCTGCCGCCTTTGAGAAGATGATCATCTCAGAGCTGGTGCACAACAACCTGCGGGGGGCCAGTGGGGGCGCCAAAGGGCCTCCACCGGAGCCTCCTGTGCCACCCGTGCCAGGGGTCAGTGAGGACGAGACCGGCGGGCCTGGGGGTGCTGACCGGGCAGAGATTGAACTTCTCTACAAGGCCCTAGAGGAGCCACTGTTGCTGCCCCGGGCCCAGTCGGTGCTGTACCAGAGCGATCTGGACGAGTCAGAGAGCTGCACGGCAGAGGATGGGGCCACCAGTCGGCCCCTCTCCTCACCTCCCGGCCGCCCGCCGGCCCGGGGGGGCCAGGGCCCGAGGGTCCGTGGTAGATGCAGTTGGTCACCAGTCTCTGAGGGGCCTCATGGACCAGAGGCCGGGGGCCTAGCCAGGGAGGGAACCAGGAGGGGCTCTGGTGGGAGCAGAGACTGATGAGGTAGTGGCTGGTGGGTCACTCTCTCCAGGTGCCCCTCAGCCCGGGGGCCCCAGAGTCCCCTCAGGGGCTCTGACCTGGGCCCCAGGTGCCAGGGTTAGTAGACAGGGTTTCCACCAGCCACACACCCCAGCCTCTCTAGGGGAGTGCAATGAGGAAAAGTCCCAGGGGCCCTAGGAGTGAGGGAGAGGCTGGCAGGCGAGACCAATTTCTGACACTCCCTGCCTGTGGAGGAGGAGCGAGGCTTCCCTAGGTCTGTAGGGGGCTGCCACTTTTGAGGTAGCCAGAGCCTTGCAGGATCCAATCTATCAGCTGCTCCTGTCCATCCACCGGAAGGGAGCAGTGGGGCAGCAAGACAGATGGACAGGATCCTGCCATGCTACAGTTCCCTGTGCCCTGGAGACTGGGCCTTGCACCACAGGAAGGCCCAGGCCCAAGGGATTGGCAGTGGGGGCTGATGATTAACGCGGAACTTTCTCTAAAGCTCCTTTCTCCCTTGCTATTGGTCCCTGTCTCCCAAGCAAGTCTGCCCCTCAACCCCCAGAGTGCACCCAATGACCCCCTCCCTTGGGGTGACTCCTGATGAAGCACAACTCCCCGCAGGGCCTCCTAACCTACTGGGGTGGCCATATTTGGGCAGTTCCCGGTCCTGTGGGCTGGGCTATCTGGGGAGCAGATTTGGGGTCTGGGGCTCCCTGAGGAGTGGGTCCTGGGTTTGGATCTTTCCCTAGGGGGGTCCTCTTACCCTTTTTCTTCCTCCCCTATTGCTGTAAATATTTCAACAAAATGGAAAAGACAAAAAAAAAAAAGACAAAAAAAAAGTAAGAAAAGAAAATCTCATCACTTGAAGCCACCGGGCACCTGCAGCCCAGGCCAGCCCGGACTTTCTCCGGAACAAAGCAGCGGCCAGCCCTAGCAACCAGGACTTCCTGTATGTGTACATCAGCCAGGGTGGGCAGCCGCCAGAGCAGCTTTTTACACCAGAGACAAAACAAATCTAGAAGCAACAGCGAAACAAAGAACCTGTCCTTCCCAACACCGGTCCCGTCACCTCCGCGCTGTCTGCCCTGCATCAGTCAGCCCCCCCGGGCCGTGTACCTCACTGCCTGCCCCACAGGCCAGGAGACACCCTCACACCCAAAGATACTTTTGCCAAGATGGCTGCACTACCCTTTGAGTTCCTGCTTCTCGTATATCACTTCAGAACTCATGGCAGGCAGGAGGAGGCTGGCATCCCATCCTGGGAAGGGCAGAAAGTGGTTCCTGTGGCTGAGGGCAGGATGGCAGTGGTGAGCTCATTGGGGGCACAGGCGAGAGGTCACTTTCCCTTAACCCCCACCCCAAGCCCTCTTGCCAGGCTTAAGGTGTTTACCAAGCACCTCTAGCCCTTCAGCCTGGCCTGCCCTCCCCCAGTTTTTTGGGGGTAGCATATCCTGCTGCCATCTTCCGGAGGTGGCATCACACCTCCGCTGACTTCACCCTGTCTTTCCCCTGCTTCCTTCCTCACAAGTGCCATGAGTTTTCAAGCATCCTCGGGTCTCAGCTTACTGCTGCCGTGAACCTCTTTGGGTTATGAGGAAGGGACTGTAGGAAGGCGCTGAGGAGGTGGATGGGTGGCTAGGGAGGACCCTTTTTGCTGCTAGAAAGCCCTCTCCCTTCTGAGGAGCTGGGACTGGCTTGTCCCCATCAATGAGGGGGAAAGGGGCCAGACCAAAGACAATGGTTTGCCCATGACAGGGAACAGATGTGAAAAGGCAGGGTTTATTCCATCTCTGGTTTTTTCTGGTAGTGTGTTTTAGCCTAACTTGCCAGAAGACCAAGGGTGAAGTCTATAGGGAAGAGGAGAGCGGATAGGGACAGTCTTGCTAGGCAGGCATGAAGAGTAGGGAGTGGCTTGTGGCCCTTGCCTAACTTCCACTGGACCTGGAGCGAGGAGTGGCTGGCCCAGGGGCCAGAGGACTTGACTCAGCCCAGGCCTGAGGCCCATAAAACATCAATAAAGCTGGGAGAAGGAATGGGGTGAAGAGCTTCTCTGGGATTGACAGGCACAGAAGTCCTGCTTTCTCTTTCCCTGCACAGCCCTTCTCCAGATGTGGAGGATGGAGTGTAGCGGGGCCCTGCTCTAGCTGGAATCTAGTACAGAGTAACTCCCAAGCCTCAAGAGCTACATGGCAGGTCCCCAAGTGGGGCTGGATCCACTACAATCCAGCGCAAAGCCACCCAGAGAGCCCAGGTGTCCCCTAACCTAACCAGACCTGGTGCCTTGACGCCCCCACCCCAATGGGGATGGTACAGAGAAGGGTCTTGGTCTCCTCCTACTCCCTTCCTTGGGCTCCTGAATTCATTTGCTCCTAAATCTTGCTCATTCTTTATCTCTGCATTTTTTTTTTTCTTTTGGGTTTTCCTAACTATTCAACTTCTTCCTTTGCTGTCTCCGTGTCTCCTCTCCTCCTCATTCTCGATTTCTCTGTCCATCTGGGCCTCCTCCCTGACCCCACACCCTAGCCCCTTTCCTTGGTCTCCTTTTCGATATGCCAAACCAATTTTGGGTCGAGTGCATTTAACGAGAACAAAACAAAAGGCTCATAAGAACGTTTCAGAAAAAAACAAAAAGTTTAAAAAAATGTTGAGTCAAAAAGTCAAAACAATAAAGAAATTAAGATTTCTTGGAATGGTAAGAGTGATGTGATTCAATTGGGGGACAAAAAAGTTTAAGGTATAGTTCTCTCAGTCCCAGGAACTATATACAAACACTCTGAAGTTAAATGGCCATAGATATTGCAGGCCTGTAATTTCAGCCTGTGGGGAGTTGAGGCAGCAGGATGGATCAGTCAAGGTCAGCCTGGGCTACATAGTAAAACCCTGTCCCAATGAAAGTAAGAGGCTGGGGAAATGGTCCCACAGCAAAGAGCACTTGCTCTTTTAAAGGGCCAGCTCATGACCACCTGTGACTCCAGATCTAGGGGGTCCGATCCTTCTGATGTCCACAGGTATGCATGTGCTTAGAAGCAAAACACTGGGACATAAAATTTAAAACTAAAAATAATAAACCTTGGGGGGGAGGGAGTTGGAGAGATAGTTCAGTGGTTAAGAACACTGCTCTTCCAGAAGTCCTGGGTTCAATACCCAGCAACCACATGGTGGCTCACCACCATCTGCAGTGAGATCTGGTGTCCTTTTCTGGCCTGCAGGCATACATGCAGACAGAACACTATACATAATAAAATAAATCTTAAAAAAATAATAATAAACTTCGGGCTGGAGAGATGGCTCAGAGGTTAAGAGCACTGGTTGCTCTTCCAGAGGACTCCAGTTCAATTCCTACCACCTACATGGCAGCTCACACCTGTCTGTGACTCCAATTCCAGGTGATCTGACACCCTCACAGAGACATACATAAAATAAAAATAAATTTAAATAAATAAACCAGCTCCCTTGAACCCTCAGCAGGTGCCAGGAACTTGTATGTGGAGTGCTCTTACACTCCTGGTCTGGTTGAACATTTCTTAAACAGTTTCCTCTGGCCTGCACTGGCAATCCAGGGTGCATGCTAAAGATAGAACTCCATTTTACAGTTAGAGATGCCCACCTAGACACACATATAGATACACACCTAGGTCTCTGGCATGACCACTGTGTTACACTCTCAAAGGAGCCCTTCTTGGCAGGCAGGCTTATCCTCTGAGTTGGAGGCCAGCCTGATCTACATACAGAATGAGTTCCAGGACAGCCAAGGCTACACAGAGAGATCCTGCTTTGAAACTCCAGTGGGGGAGTGTGTGTCAAAAGCTTCTTTGAATGGTTGGCTGAAACATTTGCCAAAGATGGCCCACTAAAGAGAGGTACAGATGCCCGATATCCCTTGGCTTGGTGTTGATGAAGAGATAATAGTAAGGCTCAGGTATCGCAATGCTAGAGTACTTGTACAACATAACCCTTCACAATGGGAAGGCCCAGACGGCCCGCCCTTCACAAATCCTGTAAGGCACAGCATGTCAGGGAGCACCAGCACACTGGCAGAGCTTTGTTGTCACCCTTTCCCGTGTGCCAGACCTTGGGGTTGCTGCTCAGAAAAACTCTCAAACAAAACAAAACAAAAAAAGGCTGCACTGGACAGTGGCAAGAGGGAATCCAGGCCTGTGAACCAACTTCCAGACTTGAGCCAGTTTGCAGACCCAGACCCAGAACCCCTTGCTAAAATACCTAAGAGGTTTTTTTGTTTGTTTGTTTGGTTTGGTTTTTCGAGGCAGGGTTTCTCTGTGGCTTTGGAGGCTGGTCTGGAACTAGCTCTTGTAGAACAGGCTGGTCTCGAACTCACAGAGATCCTTCTGCCTCTGCCTCCCGAGTGCTGGGATTAAAGGCGTGCGCCACCAATGCCCAGCATAAAATACCTAAGAGTTTTACTGTCAGCTTTTCTCCTTCCCCAGAGGGACCTAAAACCTTTTATAAGGGTAAATGTACACTAGGGGAAAGGAAGCAATCAGACTTTCTGGGGTCTATTGAATACTGGTTCAGCCAGACCTCAAGAAGCATTGTGGGGGCTGGAGAGATGGCTCAGAGGTTAAGAGCACTGACTGCTCATCTAGAGGACCCAGGTTCGATTCCTAGCACCCACATGGCAGCTCACAACTGTCTTTTACTCCAGTTCCAAGGGATGTAATACCCTCATACAGGCAAACCAATTTACATGAAATAAAAATAAAAAATAAATTAAAAAAAAGAAGCACTGTCAGTCCTCCAGTTAAACCAGGGACTGGTGGAGGCCAGGTTATTAGTGGAGTTGTGACTGAATTCTGACAGTGGGTCCAGTGGGTCCCTGAACTCATCCTATAGTCATTTCTTCAGTGTATACATGGAATATACTTAGGAATTGGCATAACTCTCACATTGGTTCC